TTTAAAATGAAATATTTTGACTTTAAACTCCACCTACTTCCATTTCTTCGTTTTCTCATCTGTTTATCAATCTCTTCTCAAGCCTCAGGTTTTTCTTCTGTTAACACTCTTGTTCAGCCCCATATTCGTGTACTCTACCCACAAAGTACTTCATTAGCCAGGTTACCTCCTTAAATAGTTTCAATCAAAATTCCAATTTCCATGCAACTTAAGAACTGAAATCAAAGCAATTTAATTGATTTAACTAACATTATGCCTTTTAACATCTTGTATGCATTTGTGTTTTTAAATGTGAATGCATGTTATTCCACATGAATATTTAGAGGATGAATTTTCAGGTATTATACTACAATGTAACATTTAGAAGATGTGTATATTTATTTCTTTTGGTAGGGATGGGGAATAAATTCTATTCTCAGACTGTTCTGCAGTGAGAGGATGCTCTAAGTTATCCCTGCCTTTCACAACTTCTTTCCTCCAATTATTACAAAACCCACAAGTTCCATTTTTCTTTTCCTCCCCAATGATTGGAGTGGTCACTACAGCTTGAGTAAAAACTGTTTATAAATAAGAGACTACCTATATGAGAATATGTGGATAAATAACTGCTAAAGCATATGGTAGGATGTTTGAGATACGTACCTTTTCACGAGTCTTCCACATTTTTGTTCTTAACAGTTTCTTTCTTGGCAGGTTATGGACGGAGATCTTCGCCTGGTCAAATCAGTAGAGAATCCAAGAAAGGAAAAATTTGGCAGAACATAAGGAAAACCTGCTTCAAAATAGTAGAGAACAGTTGGTTTAAGTGTTTCATTGGCCTTGTCACTCTGCTCAGCACAGGCACTCTGGTAAGTGAGCAGCCAGGTTGTGTGATGCTTTTATGGGAACAAATGTTTCATAATTCTGTTATTTCAGAAAGTCTCCAGCCAGATGACTTTCCCCAGAATACTTAGTATAGCACCAAATTTCATATTCTGCGATTTTAGCTTTAAAAACTAAATGGTACACTTTCTTAGAAAGTCTGTATATATCTCATTCAATGTTAAATTTAATATTGCTATTAAATCGAAATATAAAATTAAATAAATAATATAATTTCAAAATATATGAGTGATAGTGGGAATAGGAAATGTTAATAGATATTTGATTCTTCTGACTATCATGAAGTTTTCTTTGTCAAACAGTTTAACAATTTGGACATACAAAACTGCTATATTGGGTTTGTACTTTGGTACCTATTCAATAAGGAAAGCGAAAATTACATATGCTTTTAAGGGCCTTTAAACTAGAAATGTATTTATCCTTTGATCCAACAATATTAATTATGGAAAATTGTCCTACAAGTATCTTCACATGTATTAAATGCATTTACAGAGTTATTTGCTTCAGAGTTTTTTGTAATAGCAAAGGATTGGGAAAAAAGCATCTGTAATAGGTCACTGCTTATGCTATGGTACAGTCGTTCAATGGAATACTATGTAGCTATTTTAGAAATACAGAGCTGTCTGCATACTGATATTATAATTCTCTAAGATATGATAATAAGTGAAAAAATAATGATATATTGCATGGCCTTCTGCATTTTATGTAGGAAAGGAAGAATAATAAAATACATTGATATTTATTTCCATTTGATTAAAAAAGATCAGAATAGGATACACAAGAACTACTTAACTGTGAGATGCTCCGAACAGAGAACACGGAGTCTTGTGAACCAGACTGCGCTGCATTGATCCAGCCTGAGTAGGCTAATTAGTGGCCTCCCGATGAGTCCATATCATAATCCCCAAAACCTTTCAATGTTAATTTATATGGCAAAAGGGTCTTTGCAGATGTGACTAAGATAAAGATCTTGAGATGGGGAGATTATCCTGGATTATCTAGATGAGCCTAATGTAATCACAACGGTCCTACAAGAGATGCAGGAGGAGTTGCAGTAAGAAAAGAAGGTGATGTGAGGATGAAAGCAAAGATTGGACTGTTGTGTTTCGAAGATGGAAGAAGGCATCACAAGCCAAAGTATATAGGCAGCCACTAGAAGTGCAGAGAGGAAATGAGAGCCGTCAGAGCCTCCAAAAGGATCCAGCCCTCTTGATACCTTATTTCTGACCCCAAGAATTATAAGATTATAGGCTTGTGTTGTTTTAAGCCACTGAATTTGTTGTAATTTGTTACAGCTACAGTAGGAAGCATTATACACGGTTTTCTCAGGATCCACTCCCAGGAATACTCTCCCATTTCCTGCTAGTACATGTTACTAGGTCCTGCATATGGGCCAGGTCCTCTGGCATATATAATCCTTCTTCCTTAGCAATCTCAGTACTTCCCTAGCCACTTAGAGATTCAACCTTATGTATATATTTGGTAGCCAGGAGGGAAGGTGAAGGTAGATTTTAAAGAGGGTTTTAAGATACCTACCTCATTGGAGGCTTCTTCATGGTCCTCAAACACGGCTAGGTTCAGGTTGATCTTATTGGAGCCCAAACTGCACCACAGAGTTCCACCTTGAGTGAAGCAAATGGCATTTATATCTATATGTCATTTAGCCATTGACCGAGGTGTGTCCCTCTAGGAGTGGAAACATTGCTTCTTGGGTGAGGTGGCTCTTGTTTAGCAGTGGCAATTCTCCAAAGAGGGCTTCATTTGTGTCTTATGAAGCAACACTAACAGTTGCTGTGAAATGGGTAGATTTGCCGGTAAAAGCGCTCTTGATGGGCATCTCTGGTATCTACTACGATGTTCAATATGTATGTGAAAAGTGTGTGTTGTATGATGCTGTTGGGTGCAATTATGG